CCTTTCCAGACTCTTGCCTGGAATTTTGGCAGAGGAGAAGGACAAAGGGATAGTGTCTTAGTCAACTGAGGCTGCCACAACAAAGTACCACAGATGAGGTGGCTTAAGCAAGAGGAATTTATTGTCACAATTCTGGAGGCTGGAAGTTCAAAATCAAGGTGGCGGCGGGGTTGGTTCCTTCTGATGCCTCTATCCTTGGCATGTATATGGCCATCTTTCCCCTGTGTCTTCACATCGTCTTCCGTCTATACATGTCTGCATCCTGATTTCCTCTTATAAGGTGTGTTTTGGAGGACTTATGCTTCCACACAGAAGGCTGGTTACCTTATTTATATGCCCTAGAAATGAAAAGCTTTTGGATGGTAAGCAGCTTTGAGGAAGCTGTGCCTTCGTAGTGGATTCGTTACCTTATTTATATGCCCTAGAAATGAAAAACTTTTGGATGGTAAGCAGCTTTGAGGAAGCTGTGCCTTCATAGTGAATTCGTAGTGCCTTTGTAGTCAGGGTGTTTTTATTTGGATTAGGGCCCACCCATATGACCTCAGTCTAATATAATTACCCACTTAAGGCTCTATCTCTGAATACAGTTATGTTCTGAGGTACTGGAGATTAGGACTTCAACAAATAAATTGTGGGGAGTGGGCACATTTCAGCCCACAAGAGAAGGGGATTGGCATTCTAACAAATTCAAATTTAATTTTGTAATTAAGAAACCCTAATCGCTTTAGGGAGTTCTTATCTTTGAGAACTGGATTCAGGCCAATGGGACTTTTGAGGGGAAACTTGAGGGTAGGGTTGTGTGTCAGAAAGGCTTGAATTAACTTAATTACAACTTGAAGGGTTGGAATGATGGTCACAGTGAAAATTCTAGAACTCGAATTGTGCATCTTGTTTACTTACAGAATATGTTTGACTGATTCCTGGAGGAGGGGATATTGAGTAATTACTTGGAGCAGGGAATTAAATACCTTCTCATTCTTGGGGGTCCTGATCAAGCTAACCTGAGATTCTTGGTATTAGCATCCTAGTTTCAGCCTGTTGGACATCAGCTCCTACTACCCGTGGAAATGTCTCCTGTTTTAGAGGCAATGGTCTGCCTACCTATATACTAAAAGGAACAATCTTAACAGTACTCATTTCTTCTTTATCCTACAAAAAACAAAAAACCTTTTCTTCTAGAAGTCAATCTTTAAAAATTACACAGGAGGAACTCAAGACTTAATTCTTTATAATTTTCTAAACCAACTTTTGGTGTTTAAATGACATGTTCCCAGCTAATGTCATGCAAAATTGGTGAATGAACTTCACCTCAGCCAAGTGCTAACAATCTGGGATGACAGCAGATCCTCCAAGCTGAGAAGTTTATGCTGGACAAAGTGGTCTGAATCCTTTATGGCTATTGATTTTGCTTGCAATTCCTTTGCCATTATGCAAAAAACGGTTCTTTTTCATTGACTTCTATCTTTTGATGACTCATACTGTGCAACTTTTGTGAACTCAGGTATGAGGTGATACCCCTCTTCATGCCATCTGCTCTTCTATGTGTGTTAAAGGCGAAAAACGAGTGGAACTTCTCTCTTTCTCTATTAAGTTTTCTTGCTGAGAGCTGTGCTCTTCTGAGCACCCATGTTTCCTCAAAGAGGGCCAGTTACCTTATTTATATGCCTTAGAAATGAAAAGCTTTTCGATGGCAAACAGCTTAGGGGACGAAACGCCTTTCTAGTGGATTCTGTCAGGGTATGGTTTTCGTCAGGGGTAGAACCAATGCCTCATGCTACTACAGTGTGACTTCTTGACATCAGCTGTTTTGATAGAGCTCATTATCTCTGGGTTGGGGGTCAAGAATGACACATTCTAAGCTTTAGGCACCATGATAGTAAGAGTTATACATAGCAGGGAATAGTTTAATCTCACTTCGGCTTTAAATATGAAGAATGTTAATTAAGATTGTGTGTGTTGGGGGGATTTACCAAACCCTTAAGGAAGAAAAACTACTTAAGAGTTTTGTTTTCTTGCTGCTGCTACTGATCCTGAAGCTAAGATTTGTATAATCAATTGGTTTGTCATGGAGTAGCTCTTTTGCTGCTTATATATTAAATATGAAGAGGGACCCCCAAAAACCTGGAATTATTTTTTGGAGGGTAGGCCCCTTGTAGGACAGACTTCCCCCACTGGGTAAATTTTCTAGAAACCCATCAGCCTCAGTATACCAGCTAGTGTTGTTGTGAGAGGCTGCATTTGGCTTCAGTGAATTTCTTTTTTTGGAGATTCTTTTCATGATGGGTAATTTATTTATAAGTGCACCTGCCCGCACTGCCCTGAGTGTTCAACAGTTTTTGACCAAAAAGGGCATGACCTTTATGCTTCACACTTCCTATTCACCTGATCCCACCACAAGTGACTCCTTTCTGTTTCCCTGGATGAAAAAAGTCCTCAAAGGAAAACGTTTTGCCCATGTGGAAGAGGTGAAACAAAAATGGCAGAAGCACTAAAAAATCATCAAAATTGACGAGTCCAAAAACTGTTTTGAGTAGTGGAAAAATTGTCTCAATAGGTGTATTGCATTAAACGGAGAATATTTTGAAGTTGACTGAAATTTAAATATGTAAGAATAAATACACAATTTTTCATAAATAAATTCTAGGGTTTTTTTGGGTTCCCCCATATAGTTACTATTTTAAAAATCAAGACTTTTTGCACTGAAAGTGCTCTACTTGGTGTATTAATTATATAAAAATTTGATTATAGGATAAACAAAATGTGGTATACACTTAAAAATGGAATAATATTCAGCCATAAAAGAAAGAAATTCTGATATAACATGGGTGAACCTTGAAAGCAATGTGTAAGTAGACACAAAAAGGATGAATATTGGATGATTCCACTTATATGAGGTACCTAGAATCGGCAAACTCAAGGAGACAGAAAATAGCATAGAGATTACCAGGAATGGGGCGGGGGATGGGGGAGGGAAAGGGGAATTCTTGTTTAATGGGTACAGAGAGTTTCTGTTTGGGAAGATGAAAAGTTCTGGAAATGGAAATGGTGATGGTTACAGAATGTTGTGAATATACTTAATGCCACTGAATCACACACTTTAAAATGGTAAAATTTTTATGTATATTTTACCATCATAAAAAAAGTTTAAAAATCAATTTCAATGCAGGAAGGATATATGAGACTTATATACATGCAAAAATATAAAAACTAAACTTTTTATTCCTTAGACATATATTATCTGAGCTTATAAACCTGCCTGTGGGTAGTTTTTGTGTGGATTTGTTCCTGATCAGCAATAGAGAAAACCTTTTCTCCAGGCTGTTGCCAAGACTACAGTCTCAGCTGTAGCCCAATTCTCACTCAACTTTTTATTGGGAGAAATAATAATATATATGGGAAATAGCTCAAAGGATATGAAAGCCATTAATTCTTCCAGAAATTCTAATTTTTAGCCTTGGATCAAGCCAGATGATCAGATTTTTATGTAATTGGGCTCTTTTTTTCTTTTTTTGGCATCATATTTCATATTGTGGGATGCAGTAAGAAGCATTATGGGAGACTCCCTACTGTGTATACTTAGAGACATTGTTAATTAATTACTTTCCCTTTCTTCTTCCCCAAATATGGATGATAAAGGATCCTTCAAGAATCTGTTCAGGGAAGGGAAGGTTAACACCTTGGTAGAAATTTCATTATGACAAGAAGAAGTTAACATTTTTGAGAAGTATGTGTACTGTGTTTATATTATGTTAAATGTGATTATATTGTATCTATTTTCTTCTTTGCTTTGGCCACTAGAATGCTCAGAGCCTAAGTTATGAACCGCATCAAGTAATAACTTTTTTTTACACTAACTTTTCCTTATGTTCTTCTGGATTTTTATGTCATCTTCTTTTTATAGTATGTGTATATTTTGTGAGTTAACTCATCCTTTTTTGAAATTAGATGGTATACTAGTTGGGGTTCTTCATAGAACCCTGACCAAGAGAATGTATGCAAATGTATGTGCTTGTGTGTGTGTATATATATATATATAGGGGGGACATTTATTTTAAGAGATTGTTTCATCCAGTTGTAGGGCCTGGCAAGTCTGAGGTTTTCAGGGAGGCTGGAGGCCTAGGGAAAAGTTATTGTTGCAATCCTGAATCCAAAGGTAGTCTAGAGGTAGCATTTCAACTTGGCTGATCTCAGTCTTTTCTCTTAAAGCCTTACCTGATTGGATGAGGCCCACCCACATCATGAAAGGCAATCTGCTGTTCTCAAAGTCTACTGATTTAAATGCTGATCGCATCTAAGAAACACTTTCACAGCAGCATCTGGACTGATGTTTGACCAAATGATTGGGCACCATGACTTAGCCAAGTTGAAACATAAAATTAACCATCACAGTAGAAATAAATATATAATAGAGTTTTGTTTAAATTGGATGCAATTGTTGTCTTTTATATTTGCTTATTTGAGGGCATGTAGGGAAAGATTCCAGTTCCCTCCCACCTCCTCATCTGGGTTCAGGTCTCATGTTGTCATTATTTCATCAGCTGGTAGGGCTGTCTTCCAAAGCAGGGTTGGTATAATGGCACAGGTCTTCATTGTGGAAGTGTTGAATGTGTGAATGTGTGAATGCTATGACCTGCCAAATACCCTGCTGTATGTCAGTGTTGTAGAGAGTTCTGTCAGCTCTTTGGTAAACAGCCATTTTTGTGGAGGGACGTGATGAGGTGTATGATTTCACCAATTATTACCATTCCCAATTAGACGGGGCCCAAGTGTGTGTGCTAATAAAACGCTAGCTTATGCTCTCTGTAATGCTAATGGCCCCACCTTGACTTGACTCCAGGGACTTCTTGTATTTGGTATTGTTCAATCGATTGTATTACTGTTCTTTTCTGAAACATCTCCAAATACCCGGAAACCTGCCTTTTGTTAGAAAACATTCCTGTTCAAGAACGTAACTCATCATGAGTAGTGCCTCTAACCTTATCTTTTTTTATCTTTGGTAGGCTGGTTGCACTGAGTGTACACGCCTTCACTGTTCCAGAGTGGAGCCTGACAACTACATTCTCCTTCTCAAGGTAAGAATTGCAGTGCTATGAACAACCTTCAGGTTCTTGTTCTTGGTTAGATTGTTGAGAATCCTTATGGACTTCTGATTATCCTGGGACTGTGTCTTTTCCTGTTTCCTCAGCAATTCACCAGGTTTTCTGTCTCATCCTAAGTCCTTACTGCTCAATGTGGTCGTAGGATTTGGAAGCCTGGTTTGGGCTTAAGCTACATTTCTGGTGAACCCAAGGGAGGTGTCTCCATGCCCAATGAATAGTTAGTAGATCAAAGACTTCTCTGTGTACCATAGAAGACACCGATTTGATTAATTAAGAGAGAACCTACCTAGAGTAACCTTCCCAGTGATGGATGGGGTATGTATGGGTTGGGGAGCAATGCTCCAAAGTGTCTGTATTAAGTGAAAGACATGACTGATTATACTTAGTACATATGTGCACTAATTATTGAGCATTTGTAATTATAGAACGTTTAAATGTTAAGATTTAGAAAATATTCACTGAACCAAAACAGGATGAGAGTGTTGCCACAACAAAGAAGATATGGCAGCAAAGATGGGGGCACAATTAAAGTTGGAACTGCTTTTTACTTCATTCAATTTGCCTTTTGGTTTTAGGTATGGTGCTTAATGCACAGACTGACCAGGTTAGATTGTTAGGCATGTCTGCATTTTCCCAGGTGAAGAAATCTTATCTGAGGTCTGGTTTTCTGAAGTCAGGCTGCAAATGGCAAGGAAGTCATTCCTTTATGACGCTTCAGGGCCTGATCCTGGTCTGCTGCGTGGTCTTCTTCTTGGCTGTCAGGCTGTCAGCTCCCAAGCGCAGGGATCCCTCTGCCTTGCAAACAGACCTCCCACTTTGTATCAGATGGGTGAAAGGGAAGGAGGAAACATCCAAAGGAAATTGTCAGAGATTATGAGCTGGTTGGGCCAGGGCCATGTTTATATTTCTGTTTCTTGACTAAAGAGCAGATTGAATTATTAGGACCTGTGTTTGTTAATGATAATTTTATGTTTCAAGTACAAAGCAGAATTTTTTAAAGTATCTACTAAGATGCCCTGCTCTTTGCCTTTTTAGATGGATGACATTGTACTACCCTAATTAGGCCCTAGACAACAAGTAGGAATCTGTATATTATCATCACTGTTTCCCCAGGGCATATTGGGTGGTCTGTAAGTTGTTACTTCAACATAAGAGTCTGCTAGTACTAAACCCAAAGGGTATGAAGATCAAGGGAATGACAGTCTAGCAGTGAGACATATAGAGAATACTGGGTCATCTTTCAAAGCAAGGAAACTTAATTCCTTGTTAGTAACAGTGTTAAATACAGTGTTAGGAACATCATCATCATCATGATAACAATGGCAATAAAGAAATAACAACTCTAATATTAGCCTTCCCTATCACCACCATCAAAATCGCTAACATTTGTTGGCTCCTGTTGTCAGACACCAGACATTTTATACACATTATCTCTCTTAACCTGAACAGTATTCCTGTGAGGAAGGATCTATTAATATCCACCCTTTACAGTTGAGGAGACCAAGGTTTACTTGAGAGAGTAGGTGAGTTGTCCAAAGTTAGACAGCTAAGCCAGAAAGTGGCTGAACTGGTCTGTAACCCATGGCACAGCATGAGGTCCAACCCACACGTGGGTATTATGGCCGATGCTCTACTTAACGTCCACACACACACTCCTGCTCACGTTCCCTTTTGCCCCTGTCCACCACCTACTATTGACATTTTATCTCTTCTGCATTGAGAGAGTCCAAAAACTCAGAAAAGTGTAAGCAGTTCAAGATTGTTAAAGAACATGTGGCCTATGGAGGACAAGAGAAAAAATTAAGAATAAAAACCACCCAGTTTTACAAGATGTCGATTGTAGTCATTAACATTTTTGTATATTTTGCAGTGTTTTTTCTCCTTTTTGTAGTTTCTTCATATCATTTCTATGTAATTATGTTTTAAATTTTAAATTTAATGTAAGAAGTTTCTTGTGCTTCTGCTCTCTAAGCCTATTTTAATGACTGCTGAGTACTCTATTAAGTGTATATGGTTAGACAGCTTTTAAGTGTATTCCACAAGAAGTGATGTCTTTGAGCTGCTCCTGTGTGTCAAGTGCAGGGTCTCTGCTCACCATATTTGACAGCTAATTTCTGTTTGCTGGGCAATTGGGTTGGAATTGTGGGGCATTTGTGTCCTCTCCCTTTGTAAACACTTTGTATCTTGAGAGGGGTCTCTGTGGGGTGGGGTAGGAGCCCAGCTGGCATTAAACCCAGATTCAGCTCTGCACCAAAGTTAGATGCAAGCTCATGAGTAAATTACTTGAATTTATAGGATATCCAGTCAGCTCTGTAATTCCATGTCATTAGGAGTTTTCTGAACTTTCTTGATTTATAACCTGATCAGTTCCAATTGATACGACAATTTTGGTTGGGCTCAGTAGGATTACTCTGAATTGCTTCAAGCAGGGAATTTTGTCTTTCAAGGGGACCAGACCCACAAGCTCTTAGGAAAAGTATTTTTGCTACTTCTACATAACTCTTACCATCTCTACTTCTACAACCCCCAACAACACTTTCTTCCATTGCTGACACACCCACAGAATAGATAGTACAAAGTAGGTGCTCAACAAATAGGAGATGGACAAACACTTGCACAGACAAATGCTACTGGTCTTGTGTAAGAACCTTTAGCACTATGGCTGTCCAACTTATCAAATTAAAGAAGAAGACTGTTTCATTTAAATGTGGTAACTTTGTTTATAACATAGAGACAGACTCTTCCAAAACCTCTCATAACATATTTCAGAGTGATTTCCCTTTAAAGTTGATTATCAATTATTCTCTCTTGTTACAGGTGAGAGAACACTGATCTATGGAAGTTGATATTTTCCCTGTATCATGGAGTGAAGTAGCTTTTTCCTTAGATCACAGTAAAATCAAAGCTTAGAGTGTAATCATTCTCTTGTGTTGAGGAGGAAGGACTTACACTCTATCCTCTGGGGTCAATAACTGTATCTATGAAATAAACTGATAATAGGCAGATTAGCAGGAGCAAAGGTCCATACATTTATTATGTGCACGAGGACATCACAGAAAAAAAAGTGAATACCTAAAGAAACAGTGAGATTTAGGGGCTTAAATACCCTCTTCATAGGGGAGACGGTAGGAGGAGGATAAAGACAACCTAGGGGAGAGGAAATAATTTTGTGAAAGATGAATGGGCCCTTAGAAAAATAGGTGGGAGATATGATAGTTTGTAATAAAATTTGTCTGGGTGTGATGGCCATTTCCAGTCTCCTTTCTGTGAAAAGAGTCAATCTTTTCTAGTTGATGAAACTCCTAGGGAGGGAATTGATGACAAATGGGTTTCCTTTGGAGAACCTGTCTCTAGGCAGATAAAGGGAGTTCAGAGAAAGCCTCTCCCTGCATTTGCTGTTTTTAAAAAGACTTCAGCTCAAAATAATCATACTAATGCAGTATATTTTGTGGTGGCATATTCTGAACTTCTTCACTTACTTTGGCCAGCAGAAGAAAATGAAGGCATTTAGGGCTTCTAGAATTCTTGGAGCCACATATCTGGTCTATGGGGATTACATGATTTGTTCTGACTGGCTTCCCTGATTCTCACCTGATGATGCTGACCTTGAACTCGTTTTCTCATGCCATGAAGTTATCTATGCACATCGTTGTGCAATATCTAAGACCTATGGAATAACACTAATTCCAAAGTAACTAAATCTTGGCATTTCTGGCTCTGTATTCTATCACAGACTAAAATGAACAAAATTCTGCATTCTTACGCATCCCTCTGCAAAGACCTAACTTGGCACCTTCCTTGGTGTAGAAAGCTTCCCTCCATCTCCCCAGATTTGATCATTAATTGGTCTTGGCTTTTTCCAAGTTAATATGCTGACTTCAGTGTCCTTACTGGCCCTAGGTGGGTGGGATGAGAGCTTGGAAGTCTCTTGTGATGACTGGTAAACTTGCTGGCAAATAAACAAGTGGCCTTGTTTCACATGTGTGTGTTTGAAATGCTATTGATAAGAAAGTCTCATTTGTGTAGGGCTCTGTATCAGTTATCTGTTGCATAACAAACCACCCCTAACTTAGTGGCTTAAAACAACAACCATTTTATTGCTTATGATTCTGTGGGCCGGTTATTTGGGCTGAGCTCAGCTGGGTGGTTTTTCTGCCAGTATAACTGGGGTCATTCATACTACTGCACTCAGCCACTCCCTGGGAACATGTTAACCTAGAAGACCTCAGCTGCAATAACTCATCTCTGTCACATGGTCTCCTCCTCCAATAAGCTAACTCAGGCTCTTTCACATGACAGAACTGTCTGGCAGGAGGATAAGAACAGTAGCTGCAAGCTTGAAGCCTAGACTCAGAAATTACACAGCTTCACTTCTGCTACATTTTGTTGGTCAAAGAAAGTCACAGGGTTAGCCCATATTCAAGGAGAGAGAATTATAAATATTTATTTTAAAATTATTTTATTTTGTCTTTGAAAAATCCAGGAGTACGGATGGTCTTGTTAGCCTATCTGAGAGAAGAGAAGCCTGTAAAACAGAGGTCTTCATTAATGCACCCAAAAATATAATAATGAAGACAATGACAGCCGCAGGCACGGATATTGTTCTTATTATATGCCAAGCACCGTTTGAAGTCCTTTACACATCATAAAACTCATTTGGTCATCACACAATTTTATGACTAGGTATTATTCTTATCTCTATTTTGTAGATGAGAAAACAGAGACACAGAGAGGTTCGACAAATTCCCTCAAAGTCACACAGCTCTAAGTGGCACACCTGGGATTCCATTCCAGGAGGTTAGACTTCAGAGTCTGTGAGTTAACCCCGATACTGGTCAGATGAATGGAAATGAAATTTTCCTGACTTTTAGCAGAGTTCTTGCATGGGTCATGTGTTTTTTTTGGGAGTCGAAGAAATTGGCTGTTTGGAGATGGTCAATAGGCTTTTTTGAGTACACTCATGTGACCAAAAA